CACACCCACACCCACCACACCCACACCCACACCCAAATCCGATTTTACCATTGGATAGAGCTCATCGAGTTGTAGATGGCTTACTAGTTTTCTTTTATGGCTTAACCACTCAGGCGAATAGTCATGGAAAATACTCGAATTCGCTGCTAACTTTCCTTACATTTTCGATTTGGGATATTTTGGAGCTACATTTTCTGACGACGGCGATACTGAATTTTCTTGCATCTGTTTCTCCGATTTTGTTATTTTCAATGATGATGATGATGATATAGAAGGCTGTTGTAGACAGTGGAAATGGAGGCTCAACTTCTTCTGAATAAATAATATATAGGTCTTGAGCTGGTGAAAACTTGCTTTTGACAAGAACTTGAGTAGCGGGATGGATGAGAATCTTTGATTCACTTGAAATGCATGAATAAGACTGAATTGATTTCCCATATTCAATTAACATGGAGATATTGATTCTATACAAGATATCACTTGTTCAACATCCCGAACAAAAACTCTTGCTTTCAAAGATTAAATAGTTTTGTTTTTTTCTGTTGTATCTATATGATGTTGACTGTTTATGCTTTATTTTTTAATAAACCGTAGACATCAAAATATAAGAAAAAGATGATAGATTTAACTCAAAAAACTTTCAAAATCTTATGACTCTCTTATAATTACTATGCCTTCTGATTTGTCCATGTATTCTGAAAAGAGTCTTTAAAATTACAAAGATAAGATCTGTCGTTTTGATTTACTTCCTATTGCATCTTCAAGAATCCAGATTGGAGATTTCTATTACGAGTGAGAGCTTTTGCTCCCATTTGTTTAGAAACCTGTAAAAGCTGAGTTGAAAGAAAATATTTTGAATATGAGTAGACTATCATGCAAAAGAAAACCGATTTTTATTAAAGTAATTATAAACTTTCCATTCAAAGAACTCATTCCGATCTGGTTTGATTAAAGAAACTATTTTGATCAATTTCATGTTTGTCAGTATTGCTTATACCAACCGGGAATCTGACATTTTTATCTTTCAGCCTATGTAATTAGCTTAAGTAGGAATATATTTATAAAGATTTGCCTTTTCTTACAAAATGAATATTATAGATACAATAAAAAGAAAAATCAATGTGTGAAATGTCCTAATGACAGAGGTATCAAAGCCACATTCTGACTACATTCCCATTATTACATGTGTAGTAAAAATTTTGTACATCTGTATTTCGTTTGATCCATTCACGAGTTATAAATTGTTCATTGTCGACGTTGCATAGTTGTCTAATGTGTATTTCTCTCAATGTCATTTTCATTCTATTAATAACTTGTGCTAGATCAGGAATAGATGACGAGTGAATGTCAAGTCGTTCGATATGAGTAAACGAATGACAAAGTGCATCGATATCATTTGACGATAATACATGAATCCTATGCTCGTAATCATATTCAATTTTCAAATGAATAATATGAGGCCATTGATAAAGAAAAAGACAACTGAGACTAATACCAGATACTTCGAGCCGACATAAACGAGGTAAACTGTGTAAAAATTCGATGTGTTCGTAAGGCAAATTTTTATTCCACTCGCGACCAATGCTACATGTCGTAATTTGTGATGTATCAAGATCAGCTGTGAGATCTTTGAGCGTCGAAGGAAATGTAGTAGTAACTTGTGACAAGTACAACTTTGTGATATTAGTGTACGGGTGTAAGTGCTGACATTTCAGATATTGATCATCCATTATTAAACAATGAACATAAGAAAAAAATGTTGACTCTGATGCATTTGATTCTGATACTACCGTTCGAATCCTCTGAGGTGATGGATAGCAAATAATTGAAAAGTTACTCGAATAGTGCATTAAACATTCATCAACGTTAAAGCTTCGATCGTATGTAACAAACCATTTTTTCTCCTCGAGCCAAAATTTCGTGCGAAATGAGTCAAGATTGAATGGTTGTTGTCGGAAAGCATCATCAGAGAATTCAAGTTCAAACTCGAAATGTTTGATATGTTGTAATGCTCGTGCCCAGGCAAAACCATTAGCCATATCATTATCCAAATCATCAGCAAACACTGCCAAATAGGTAAGACGTGGAAATGACGAAAGTAAAGTTACCATTTCTGTCCAAGTAATAGCGCACAGTTCGATCTGCAATCGTTGTAAATACAAAAGATGAGGATGAATTCTACCTAATTTTAAGTCTGGAGTTTTGAATTTGGCTTCAAGAGTGTGAAGCATAGGTGCGACGGCCAGAAGACTCAATAAATCGATTGATACGGTTTCTGAATGGAGATATTGAACAGAAGATGATATTAATGAATTCGGAGGATGAATTTTCACATCGCCATCCATAACGTCCGGCATTTTGACAGAGAGACGTTTGAGTAACGGCGAAAGAAAGAGTAGTTCGCTAAGAGTAGTAGATATCACCAATAAATGCGATGATATATCAGAATAAGAGAAACAAATGGAGAGCGTTTCGATACGTGGTGGAAGTCGAGTTTTGAATAAGCCCCATGTCCTATAGCTTATAGATGTCAAATTTAGTGAACGAAGGTTTGGAAATGTTGTATCGATGATGCTGAATCGCGAGAAGAAAATAGCATTTTTCATATACCTCATCACATCGTCTTTATCGAACAATGTCAATGATACAATTTGAGAGGTCGAATGAAGCAATTGAGTACAGATAGAATCAAACTGACTCTTGTTCATCGATGTGTCCATACAACTAAAGTTCAATTGAAAACGAGAATAAGTCAGAGAAGCCGAACGAAGGCGTTTATTGACGAAACATATAGATGAGAGGATATCAAGTGACGGAACATTGTCTAGAATGTTATGAATTAATTCCACAGGTAATGTTGTCAGATAATCCGACATAGTTTTTTTTCTGATTATATGACTGCTATTTCTCAATTTCACAAAAGTGTATATATATATGGACGATTGAAAACAATAACCGTCCTGTTCGCTTCATTAAAATATTCGATGAGTGTAGTGGCCGTGTTCTGCCGACGGACACAACTATTATTCGATAAATTCGTCTTGTTCATAGCAATTTCAGGTCGAGAGACTAACAACAGCAAACTATAGAAAAATAAACATGTGTCCTCGTTCGCTTTTTTCATAATCTGCACTTGTTACGCATGAATTCATTTCCACTGAATAGACATTGAGAGGTCATGACTCCGATACGCGAATTCATTTGGTATTTCATCAAAGAAAATTTGTTTGTCCTAGCGATTCGTGCATATCTGCCATTGGAACAATATAGACTTCGTTACTGTATCATATTCATTTTCCTCCATATTATGGAGATTGGTGTTTTACATCCTATGTGATATATTCTTGATCAGCAATACGTTCGAGTTGTCACAGTAATTCATGACCAATGTACAATTTATTATTACTATTTAACCGACAAAAGAAGAAATCAAAAAAAGTGACTAAAAACATTTGAAAGATGTTTGTCTTCGTGGGAAAGACTGATGAAGAGATGCATTTATAAACACCATTCACTATAATGACATTGCCATCAGTATATCTTGGTAAAAAGTTTTCCCAGTTGTTATTTTTCTACAAACAAGATTTCATCTGCAGGAACTATTCATTACTGAAAAGATCTCTTTTTTTTCTTTTTATTGAATCATGTTTGCCGTTTCTTTCTCTCTGATAAATATTTTCATAATTAGAAAACAAGAATCAACAATTATGAAAATATCAATTATACATCTTATGCTTTTTATTTTTCTTATTTCTCTGAAATAAATATCAAATATGAAAAGAAGTATAAAAAAAACGATAGAAGAAAGAATTCTTGGCTTTTCTGATTTGTTCATCATCCGATATTGAAATAATCATGAATAAAGTTATCAATCGTACAGCAGATTTGATTAACAGAATATTAGAATCATCATCACAATTTCATTTAGACCTGATGAAATCTCAGTTGATTGAAATTCGTAATGATCTAAATTGATTACTTGAATGAGACTCATGAAGAGTAAATAGGTTTAGAACTTACTTTTTTGGCATTTCACGTTAAACTTTTAAGCTCAGATAGAGCATATTCTATGCTTTCAAGAAATAGATTTGTTACAGGAATAAATTCTTTTGATTAGACTTCTGCAACTCATCCAGATACTTAAATCAGTCTGGGTACAGATAGACTCAATCGTTTTACTCGATAAATTCATTTATTCTTAATCAAAATTTTTCGTTTTATTGTGTATTGAAGATATGATGAATGTTGTGTTCATAGAAAAAAAACAAATCTCAGCTGTTTCGTTGTAATTCTTTAAATTAGCAGAATGTCGAAAAAAAAAGTAATTCAGTAAAACTTATATAAATAGCATGTTTACAAAAACCTTACTATTTTGAAATAAACTTTTTTAATTTGTCATCTTTTTGATTGGACTATCATATATTCACTGGCCGACAAAAAGATTCATTGGATTACTTTCATTATCAGTAGAGATGTTAATGTAACTCAGTTGTTCTTGATTTTATTCTTGAAATATTACTTAAAAAGCATTATTATCTGTATATGCCATTGTACTTTGATCTTTGACAGATCACTCCATCTCTTATTTCGTATTGTTCATCATCATCATCTTACGTTGTTCTTTTAGAAAACATAAAAAATTAAGATGTTAACCGATAAAACTTTGTATACCATATAAAAAGTATATAAAATAGTATACTAATGTTCATAGTTGTGTGATGATATTATATGAGCACCAGAATAAGAAGTTTTTACAAAGAAGGGACGTACTGCAGAAATTACTAGCGAGTAGTACTGATGATAACATCTGCAGATGTGAGTTTCATAATTTCAAACCATTGATGACGATCTAGACAAGCAATTCATGTTATGACTATCTTATTTTTCAAAACTTCAGACTATATGCATTCTTTAATTTGATTGAAAAAAAAACATCATTTATCATCGCTTCTATTCTATACATCTCCATCTACTGAATTGTCAACATGGACAAAATATAAAATCCACTTTTTACTACTTTAACTTTTGGAGTGCATTACTAATTTTTTCTGTTCTTCTGCAAACAAAATACACATGTGAATAAAAAACAATAACCCTTATTTCGTCGGTTTTTCTCTTACATCGCACTGGCAATCATCCACATATAGTCTTGAGAATTCATCTGATAAAAAAATGTCTGAACTATGTTCTATTGAGATGTGCAAAAGTTCATCTTGTACACAATGTCATTGTTGCAATAAAAAATTCTGTCAAACTCATTTTATTGAACATGATAATCTACAATTGACTTCATTAGCTGATGAAATTAATTTATTGAATGATCGACTGATGGCATTTAATGTTGAGAAATTGATTGACGATTCTCGTCAAAAACTTGAAACATGGCGTGCTCATTGTCATAAGACAATCGATGATATTTTTGAAGAAAAATGTCAAGAAATCAATCAACGTGCAAATGAAAAAATAGAAAGACAACGAGATGAAGTTTCTAAGATGCAATCAACAGTGGCTAAACTCATTCAAAAACAAGAAACAACTATGAAAGACATCGATTTACTGAAGGCGACTATTCAAACAATAGAAAAGAAAATAAATAATATAGAACAAACATGTTTTGAAGTCATTAATCGTCCATTAGTGATTGACGATAATTTAATTCGTATTGAAGAGTTGTATATACCTCACCTTGATTTGTCAACACTTCCACCTCCATATAAAACAATAAATCACACAGACGGTAGTTCGATGGTCATGGGTATTAATGATCGATTCTTCTTGGTACACCAAGAAGCAAATTTATGTTTGATGGATCGAGAGTTCATAGTCGTCAAAACAAGTCGATGGAATCATGACTGGATTTGGGATATATGTTGGTCATCAACATTAGCTCGATTCTTTGTGATAACTCAAAAGGATGTTTTCATTGTTGATGAGAACACATTGTCTATTGAGCCTATACAAATAAACCGAAACCAAATATGGCTTTCATGTACATGTTCTGACATATCATTATATCTGTCCACATCGAATGTTGGCTCACCTATTTAAAAAATTCAGTTTGTCTCCTTCTATTCAACTCGAGAAGGAATGGACATCACCTGAAACATGTACACAAAATCAAATGATTATGCATATTGTCTACAAGAACGAAACACTTGCTCTAACGATTGTGGATCTGTCCAAAAACGAAAAACTGATAGAACTGAGGGCATCAACAACTCTGGAACGGTTGTGGTCACTTAGATTAGACATCGAATATAGCGATTGTTCTTTCCTTTGTTATTTTCTTAATTATGGTGATATGCTTGTGTGTGACTGTAGTACATCACGCCTTCTGCATATTACCAAGGACGGAACATTGAAGGCTACAAGAGAATACGGCAAACATTGTCTTTATGCAATTTTATTCGATGGAAACAAATTCGTCATATCGACTGATCAAAGCTTTAACTTTCATGCACTGAAGTCTATAAATTGATTTATAAGATTTGCATATGATGGCAGCTAATTATATCGTTTTTTATTATTTGCGGTTAGGACATCTTTCGTACGAAGTATTTAATCTAAGATATGAGATTTTTTTTCGAAGCGTTTCAAATGATTAGTGTCAAAATATGTGGAACATTTTAATTTAATTCCAAGAATTTTTAGACGAGTTCTGTTAGTCAGAAAATATTACTTTCGAAAGAGTGAATTCGTGAAAGTGAAACACTGTTGATTTTATTCATTTTTCGAAAAGATGAATGATGATTACAAAATCAACAATATGGAACTAAAGATTCAAATACATTATAGGATTCGAAGGAAAATTAAATTAAATAGCATAATCTTTTTTTTCGAACGCCTTGACAAACTGTGATATACCAGAAATTCTGAAGATGTATGATGATTAACCCTCATTATACAGGACAAAGTTTATTATTTATACTATTTAGTAATCTAAAGTCTTTTCTATCATTCACGTTTCGACCAAAATTTTGTCTTCGGTCGTTTTCAATACAAGAAAAATCTCAAAACTTGATCTTAGCCCAGGTACGCTCAAATGGGCTGAAATTTGGAGCATATGTTGGGAGTGACGTGAGGAGACTGTGATAAAATTTTCAGCTCGATACCCCGACGTTTGACAAGGATATGAACCAAACAAGGGTCAAAACTAGATCATTTTCTGTTCAAGATTTCTCGGTCCACTCTCATGCGATATGTTTATTTATTTTTTCATTAGAAAGAGCATGCCAGGATGCGGAGCATCACAGAGTTCTTTTTTTTTAAATTCTTAACTTTTTAGCGAAGGAAGGAGATCACAAGTTCAATGACTCAAAAAACGTGCCAAAAATGGGTGTCTAGTTACATAAATGACTGTATATATGGGCGTGACCAACTGTCAGGATACCCCGATACTCATTCATTCATGTAGGTTCAACTATCTATCAAAAAAACGTGATCTTTTTATCACTTATACCACTTGTCTAATGCTCTTGATCTGTAACTGCTTGAGATATAGATATTGGTAAAAATGAGGATTACTAAGGACATCCTTATGATTATATCGTAAACATGCTTCACATCATATCTGTTGATATATTGTCCTCGCTATAAACTCCATATACGATAATATTCTATCCATTCTGTCCTACCGTCGAGTTCTCATTGGATCATTCCTGTTCGAATCGTGATCTTTTCGCTTTCTCTCGTTCCACCATTTTCTTTAACATACTTTAACTCGATAACACACACAAACGTTTATCACCCTTGGATTATGTCTTCCTCACAAGTTAAATGAAATTGCTCTGAATGTGATTATGCTCCAAGTGATCGTCGTAAATATTGCACCGAATGTCACTCAATGTTAACGTGGACATGTACTGGTTCATCAAGGTCCGGTCTGTATACGAATTATTATCGACATCGTGACAATTGTAGCTTTTGTACACCAGAACTTGAAGAAGAAAA